TGAAAGTCTGGAGATCCCTTCACCCAGCTCAGAGCACAGCCATGGGCCAGTGGCTGTGGGTATCTGGGGACACTCCAAGGCAGCCTGAGCACCCTGTAACTCCAGAGAGACACAGCAGAGAAGCTGAGTCTTTCTGTGTTCTGGAAAAGGTATGAGAGGTAGCTGAGAAAGAAATCTGGTGGGCTGAGCTCTCTGGACCTTCAGGCAAACACTTCAGAAGAGAGTGGGGTGGACTACACAACCAAGGTTCTGAGGAGGACAGGTTCCTGGCCCCACCTCCAACGTCCCTACCCTGCATGGTCTCCCTGCGTTCAGCAGTCCCTCAGGGTTGGATGTGGAAGGACCCTGAAATGATTGTTTTTAGGGAGACACACTGCTGGGTGTGGTGGCACATACCTGTAACTCCAGCACTGGGGAGGTTGCGGCAGGATGACTCCCATAAGCTTGAAGTCAGTCAGGGCAACATAGTGACTTCAAGGCCAACCTGGACTACATATCGAGCCCCTATGTCAAAAAACAAAACAAAAACAACCAAAAAGCAACAACAACCACAAAAAACGACACAAAACCAGAAACAAAAAATGACATGCAGCTCCTAACCTTCCTAGCCTCTTATTTTATTAAAAGCTGATTTTATTTTGGAGTACAGGATGTTGGGTGCTGCATCTTTTCTTTATTTAGATCAGCGGGACTCTAACATTTGTAATCTGACCTTGAATGACTCAAATGATTGGGACCCAGCTGCAATTCCTTTGTTTTCTCTAGCACAAAAAATGGAATCTAAAAAAATGTGGCCGGGGGAAAATAGCATCAGCAGTGCTCCTGTGTCCACTGTTCTGCTTCTTATAGGGGAATTACCTGCCATTAACAGTGGTCTGAAAATACTGAATGGAAAATTTGAGAAATAAATGACTTATAAATTTTAATTGCATTCTGTTTCAAATAGCATGATGAAAGCTTACCATCTTGCCCAAGGCCTGAATTGTGCCGTGGTGTAGTGTTTCTACTCTGTATACATTACACTCCTCCTAGCAGTTTGGTGGAGATCTTACCAGATTGGCTCTCAGTACTTAAGTAACCCTTATGTAATTACCTAACACTACATCTCAGTGCCTACAACATTCACTTATCTTCATTACACTGTATTATCTTCTCACATA